ATGAAAAAAGGTTGAAAAGGACTCCCCTACCGTCTAACAATATTAAAGTCTGCCTCAAATTTACAAACGTACTCAGCAACATCAAACGCGCCGGCTTCAAACACACGCGGCAGCTTCAAACCTGGCAGCTTCAAATGTGGCAGCTTCAAACACACGCGGCAGCTTCAAACGCGGCAGCTTCAAACACTTTTGTGGCAGCCATCTTGCACACGCTCAAAAGAGCACAACCTTAGAAACCTTAGGCAGGCACCTTATCCACGAGGCTACACAGAGGCTTTGTTACAAAAAAGAATTATTGGAATTTGCAGACGTTAAATTAGCCCGTAGAGGGAGCTCACACCGTCCCATAAATGTACAATAATTGGAACATACTGTAATTTAAAACATTTTCTCTATTAAGCTCTCTGTAGAGAGGCTACAGAGGTCAAAGTAGAGCATTCCTTACTTCGCACCAACCTCTGTGAGCCCATAAAATTTCATTCAAATTAGACTCCATTGACCACGTATTTTGTAGCTCCAACAAACAGAAGAAGAGGTGTTTGGCCATGTATTCTCCACAACAAGCACGGCTTCTCCTAATCATCATTTGCTCCTGATGTTGGAAGAAGAAAGTCTGTGTCGGAACGCAAGGAGAACAAAGAGCCGCCGGTCGGAATTGTCATGGCAATGCCCTCGATCTCCCCACACGTTCCTTCTGTTCAGGCAGCGATGGTAGTGCTCTTTTTATAACTTGACTAGAGCTGCTCCGGCGTCTCTCAGGTTTCTGTGCTCCATGCAGTGCTTTCAAAGACTATTATAATAGTGTGTTTGATATTCAAAGGTTGACGATGGAAATTGTTACCTACTGGACGTTCTTTAATGAAGCCACAAGTAAACAATGACCTAAATTCCTCTGGAAACGCGGAACAGAACGATTGCTCTACAGAAGAACACGGATAATAAATGTGAAGGGAAAAGGCATTTTCTAATTCCATGTCACAAAAGCTACGCTGGAGAGAAAGCCATACCCTTAGCTGGAAAGGTTCTGAACACATATATTGATTTACATCACGCAAACTGAAACAGCAGAGCCCACTTAGTCCTCACAAAAGCGGTTGCCTTCCCTCAGCCTGAACGCACAATAGAGCAAAAGAGTGTGCAAGGAAATAAGAAAAAGTGTTAGCAAAGAGAGGTTTTGTTTGACTTAACATAATCTGGGACATTCTAAGCATCACACAGATTGATGAGAATTCAATATTAAGTTGTATTTTCTATGCCATAACGAAGCCAGCAACCATTTCCTTCTTGTGTTGGCTTTAGAAATGCAGGTGCCTACATCTTTTAGAGACTTGGTGCCTCCTATTTTGTGACAGGAATTTTTAACACTGTTTTCACTTTATTAGGCAAAATATGATTGTTTTGAGAGCCACATACTCAAATCATCAAGAGCCATGAAATAAAAGAATATTAATATGACCCATCAGAGTAGGAACAGCCTGTTTGCTTAGAGCTTTCTCAAGCATCCATCGAAATCTGTCTAGACTGTCTCGCCAGCACTCAGCAAGATCATAGGCTTTGTTTTCAGCCCATGCATCTCATCTCCCCCAAAGCCAGAAGTCAACGTCATGTTTTCTAATTAAAGCAAACCAAACTACCCATCTCCACCTCTTTTCCCCCAGTATTATATAACACTGACATCCACCAAGACATTGAAATGAATACAAATTCCAGCACCTCCGACTTTCAAATCCCAAACTGAAGACCCTGTGTTAGACCCTCTCTTTCAGCCCCATTTGCCTCAAAGATTTGTCAAGGCTCTGACCCTTTCTTCAGGTTTAAGCAGGAGATTAATCCAGCTGAATGCAGTCAATCAAGAATGTGCTTTTGTGACTTCTTGGAGTGGTGGAAGAGTGAACTCTACGCGAGAGTTGCAAATCAGAAATCTTTTTTAAAATAGATTATTTAATAAAGCTGTAAGAAAAATTGGGAGATCTATATCTCAAGGTGTATAATGATGGAGAAAGTTCAGCTGTTAATTCTAGCCAGAAAAACACTGAGTACTTCTCACAAACACAGACTTCCATCTACAGACTTGGAAACTTTGGGTGCCTGCAGATTCGGGCTGACAATCCAGAAAGAACGAGACCTTTAATGCAATCCAAAACACATTGCTTAGGTATAAAGTTAGTGTTTCCTACTGTATTTTTTAACATTCCTGCCTCCACTCCTCTGGGGAATCAGAAGGTGCAGAGCTAAGAAAAATGCGAAAGTATTCTAAAAACACACAAGGCTTTTTTTTTCCCCTACTTTCAAAAAGATCTAATTAAGGATTAGCTCCAGTTTTAGCTGCAGGTCTGGGTGAACACACAACTGGTTCATTCATCATTACTGATCTAGTGCAGAGCCTTACCCACGGGTGCAAATATGAAGTTTGGGGAGCTGATCCTCTCCTCCTCTTCCCACAGAACTTGCATGAAGGGATATACATTTGAGTCCTAGTAAACTTACATAAAGAAGAAATCCACTTAGATTTGCTGGTTAATTTTTTCCCCTCTAGATTTATGTCTATCTAAATTTGATTTCTTGCTTAGTAACACAACCTTGTTCAATTTTTCCTTTGAAGTGGTTATGTAGAACTTGAGTTTAACGCACTAAATGAAAAATATTCCCACCTTTATACCTTTAAGCAGCTATAAGAAGAAATAAAATTATGTAAAACAGAAATTAATAGCTAATAAACTTCACAGGATCCAAAAGCAACCTGAAAAGAGAGCCCAGAGATAAGACTCTGAGCCAGTGTCTTTGTGTGAGAGCTCTGTTCTCCATCAGTGCATCCATTACCTCCTGGGATGCAGAGTGAATAGAGGACTAATGCCAGTGGGGAAAAGGGTCTGGCTATGGTTACGGCTATAGTTCAACCAAAGAATGACTTATCTGCATCTGCTCTCCTCTCCTCAGTCCTCCCAGACGTGCTGCCTGCGTTTCCACACCAGGCTCACACCCAGCTGGAGCTGTCCCTGGGCAGCCCACGGACACAAGGCACACGGATGTGCTTATTCCCCCAACTTCTTTTCCCAGCCTCCAGGAATTTGCTGCTCAGGAATTTCCTGAGACAAAGGTGATGTATGTACTCAACAGCTCCCACTACTTTTTCAGATTGCTTTGTGGGTAAATTTTAACATCCCCAAAAGTTCTGTGCGTGTGTGTGAGAAAGGTACCCCCAGAGCAGACAAAACATAATTGCGATTGCTCACAAAGCACCAACTTGCTCTGCATCTCCCTGTCACCACCTATGCCTGACTGGAGCTCATTCTGAAGAGTATTTCACAAGTCTCTCCAAGAAATCAGTGTCATTCTCTGAGGGTGTCTGATTGGTATAAAATTACAAGAACTGCTGGGAAGAGAAGGAGCAGAATCCTGCCTTCCTGGCCATCAGTCTCTGGAGTCTGCACGAGGTCTCTGACCTCTTCTGGATATCACACTGGCCTGGACAAGATAAAGTGAACTTCCTAATAGCAGAAATCCTAAAATCATGCATAACTGTAAATTTGTCACTGAGCTTTGATTAAACCAGCTATGTTTCCTTCCCAAGCCTTGGAAGCCAAGGAGTCAGACAGCAGCACTAGAGGAGCAGCTGCACAAAGGATCATTTGGGCTGTAGCATCTGAACAGGGAGAGAGATTTCTTTTCTGGCATCCTTCTTTTTTTTTGTATTTTTTTTTTTCTTCCCCTAACAGGTTAAATGTGAAAACCCAGAGAAACTAAAGAATGACTTATCTTGTATACACAGTATGTGCTGCTTATGTTTCGGGACCATCTGTGAATGTATTTCACGCAGCAAACATTCCTCATGTAATAACAATGATCTGAAGGCTGAAATTTGTTGGGTTCTTTTTTTTTTTTTTTCTCAGAAGTAAATTAAAAAAAAATTCCATTTCAGTTGCAGTGCTAAAAGCCTGGAGGTCAGTTTATTCTAAGTAGATATCACCAATGGTGGCAAAGAGATATTTTAAGAAAGCTTATTTGTGTACAATATCCACAGGCCATCCACCTCAACTATTTATATGAATTCTTCTGTTGGTATATAACTGGGCTGGCAAAAATGAAAAGTTGTATTACCATTTATCATACCCTAAACATTCAATTTTTCAAAAAATAGGAACCAGTGATTTATTTTTTTTTAAATATATGTGCCATTGTAATATTTTTAAAGCACATTTTCAGATGCGTCTCTTCATTTTTTATACATACATTCATCTCACGCTTAGGATGCATGCAAAAATAAAATAAAAACTTTCCTGTTATATAAGTACAGCATAGCAATAATGCTTCCAGAATGCAGTTTAAACACCATTTTCAGTGTATGATTCCATTGTCCTGACACTGTAATCTCCTCTCAGATGTTGTATGGAATTTGCAGCGTTTTTGTCTGTTCGTGATTCTCCTCTTACCTGGTGTTTTGACTCTACTTTCAGGCAATTTTTTCGATCTTCACTTTTATTAGATGGTTGCAGAGATTTTTGTTAGGTTTTTTTTCTCCCCCCTTGCACTGCATTTGGAAATGAAATATTCAATACTAGGACTCTTCTTCCACATCAGCATTCCCTGAAATCTACTTGAATCAGTTTTGAGGCTTTTGTTTGTTTGTTTTTGAGTTAATAGCTCCATTTAGACTGGGCTGCACAGATGGAAAACAGGAACCTGCCCAAACCTCCCAGCCACCGAGGAGTGCTGCCACCTTCTCCCAGTTCCTCCCAGCATCCAAAGGATTTCTGCTGTTTTACAGGAGTGCAAGTTAGCAGAGGCAGTGAAGCAATTCTCCCCACGGGTGTTGTACAGCGCTGCATTTCCCGCACCCTGTCACACCAGGAGATTTCTCAGTGCTACAAAAGTCACTTCTTTTACTCCAGATCTTCCCCACCAAGATGTGCAGAGGCAAAAAGCAACACTGGAGTCATCCTGCCCACCTACAGTGACCTTCACATCAAGCCAAGAGGGCAGCACACTCCTTACAGACGGCTGATTTCTGTATTTATAAAGTCCTGAAAGTTATAAGCCAAAAAATCCAATTATTCCTTCTATTCTAATCCTTAGTCATACCACCTGCACAGCTGCAGATCACTTTTCCCAATACACCAATATCTGTTATTGTATTTTTTGACTAAATGGATACTGCAAGTTAACCTAATGTGCTGTTTACAGCCCTAGTCAATGTATCTGTAGATTAGTAATTGCAGCAGGAGACATTGATCCTGCATCAGAAAAACTAAGTAAAAATCATATTTCACCACCAACTCCACTAATGCAACATCAAACAGGGGGAAAAATTATCACAGCACCTCATTCATAATTATGCAGTTATTCTAAAACAAATAGAGCAGCTATTGGTAATAAAGAATTCTGCTATTTATATTAAAACTGGTGTAAATCATAGACAAAAGTGAACAATGACATGTCACTGCAGCTCATCTCCCTCATAAGAAATTTCTTGTTGGGATTGAAATAATATGCATGAGAAAGTATTTTAATGTAGAGAGTGTTGGTAACAGGATTACAGGGGAGAGGAAGGCACATCACATCTGAGATAGCCTAATAAGAGAATATCTTGGAATATAAATGGCTTGTGCAATGTAACACAGATTTCCTGACAAAATGAGATTGTCACTCTAGAACCAAATGCTGTATTAGTGAAAACTAACATCAAACAGGATTACACAATTTGCGTAATAACAAAAGTCACAGAATATTGTGATCTCTGGAAGAAAAGGGCAATAAATAAACAAATAACAACAATCATGCCCAGCAACTCTGCTGGAACTGGAAAGTCCAGGCTGGCAAAAACTCGGGGGCCAGAATTTGCTGTCATTTATTGCTCTTTCCCTTGGTAATAGCACCACTGAAATCAATACAATTACATCAGGGGAAAGATGAATCTGCCTTCTAGTGTTTCATGAAGTTGGAAGACAAAATTAATGGAAAGCCCTAATATAATATAATTGACATGAATGCTACAGAGTCTGTCCCGCACACAGATCCATCAGCTTTGCTCTGCTGGCATAATAAATTGTTTTCAGAGTACAAAGTTAGCTACTAAAGGCAGGGAAGTGAGAACATAATTTAATATGAATGACAGAAAGAGTAAAAAATATCTAAGAGTTACACTAATAATATCAGGAAAATGTTAATCGTATGATGACGGCTGTAACATTAACTACATGTTTGGTCTATCTTCAACATCAGCTTAGAGCATTTGTAACCATGGAAGCTGATTCCAAAATGAGATATTCTGTTTTCTAGTATTACATTTTTTATTATGAGATCTGAATTACAACAGGATCAATTGCTCTTCTTTTTTTTTTTTCCTGAGGGAATTGAGGTTTGTGAGTTTGTTATTTTGGGGGGAGTGGGTTTTGTATGTAGAGCTTTGCTTATTTGGCAATACCATTTTAAAATTCAAATCAAACCTTAAGGTCGGGTCTCACTGCTCATCCTTCTTAGAAAGGTGGGTGGCATCCTTAAGACAATTCCCACTGATCACTTCTTAATGGCACTTCCAAACTACCGGAACATTAAAGGAAAGGTCATACAAAGCCCCTGTGTGCCATCCTTCAGGGCACCAAAACTGTAATGGAATCATTTATATTAACTCAGTCAAATAAATTGTTCTTGTTGCCTTTTCTGAGCTCTGGAAATAAATAGGTTTAAGGTGTGCTTTAGGCTGTTGAGTGGGATCAGATGGTTGATTGCTGGTGAGGGGGGAATCACGACTTCTCTGTGCTGTATTTTCCAAAAGTACATCAGGTAGAGCTTACATGAAACGCTTTCTATTACTAGGGAATATTTTTCTTTTGATACAGGTTTAAGGATAGGAAATATTTTTATTATTATTTTTGCCAAAATAAAAATGCTGCACCACATCTTCCCCTCTCTCAGCTCAGATTCCTCTATTAGAGCCTTCAAGGTGGGACAGTCTGTATTAAATGAGGGTTCTGAGTTACCACTCAGCACATTTGGCTCATTTGTACATTCAGGTTTCAGCTTTTTATGGAAAAGTTTGGCAGTTCAAAAGCAAAACAGGAAGGAATTTTTCCTGGGATGCTGTGCATGGCTTGGATAGATTGTAAGGTTTTGGCAAGGCTGTCCAGAGGCTGGTGCACACTAAAGGTCAGTGAGCAAGTGTTTGGGGATTTCCAAGGTTTCTTTTCTTGCAGTTTCCTGCTTTGAATAATCAGTTATGTTTTGTTTGAAACTAGTAAGAAGTTAATATATTGGTTTTTAAACAAGCTCTTTGCTCAACTTGCACGCAGAACAGAAGTAGGGGAAAAGATGTGGCATTTATTATTAGAATTATTAGAAGTTACCATCACCCTCTTATATCTAAAACAAGTGTTAATGGGGAGCTCAGGGCCTCCATCAAAATGATGATTGTTGCTATATTTTTCCACTACCAAAGGGAAGTCAAACCCTCTGAGTCTCAGCTCTATCCAAAGCCGTGGCAAGGGTGGGATTGGGATCCTGCCTCTGCAAACAGCAGCACAAGCAGCTGGGAAGGAGCAATTCATGGTAAAAAGAAAACCTGGAGTGCCTGGTATTTTTTTTCTTCTCAATATGTACAAAACATAAGGAGCTTAATAAGGAAAATGTATTGTTCTGATTGTAGCTAGAAATGGAGTTAGCTAGCTACTGTTAGCTTTTTTTTAAAAAAAATTGTTGCCATTATAAAAATGAATGTGGACAATATCTTTCACTGGATCATTCTGCAACCCAAATTATGGGGTTTTTGTTTTAATAATTTCTGCATATCTTTTTTTTTAAATTGTCTGCTTCCATGGAGGACAAATGTCTATTGGATGAAGTACATCATCTTTCTCCACTCCCATCCTAGCAAATACGTGCAAAACTCATTTTCTATCCATGATTTCACAGTGATTTGGAATATTCACTCTGAAATACAAGTTTTCACAGTAGCATATTCCTAATTACTGGGATTGTATATTTTTAAACCCTAAACCCACATACCATTAACTTAAGCAGCTCACAGAAGCCTGATTCATCTAGACAATACTGACAATCAAGCACAGCTTTGAGTTACTGGGACATGTTGAAGACAAACTTCCATGTAACCAACATATCTTGTAGAATTCAGATCCCCACCACAAGATCCTGGAGCTCAGGAGGAATTTCTTCCCACAAGGGGTTGTTAAACATTGGAAGGGGCTGCCCAGGGAGGTGCTGGAGTCCCCACCCCTGGAGGTGTTTAAGGAAAGACAGGACATGACATTTAGTATCTAGCCAAGGCTAGGACTCAATTATCACCAAGGTCTTTTCCAGTCTAATTAATTCTGTGAATAATCATTTTGTCATCTTTTTAGTCTGGTGCTACACTAATATTTTCCAATACAGTAGTGAGATGTAAGAGTTTAACTTATTTTTCATTTGTGGTTTTTCCTCTATGTCTTAAAAGTCTTTTAGGCTAAGCCTGGAGCTCTATCTTAACACTCCAGAGATTGACAGCAAATGGTGGTCACAGCCCTGATATTATTCAAGTTTAAATTGAAGAATTATTTTCATTAAGAGAGAGAGAAAGAGAGTAACACAAAGAAATGTTAAGACTGAGTAATTAGCCACAAATAGCCAGGAAGTAAATTAGCTTAGAAACAAGACCCTTTAAAAGAAACAAACCAAAACCAAATCCAAACAAAACCCCTCACCATATTTAATAAATGGACGGTTTATATATATTTTTGTATTTTTTATATAACTTAGACCCTCAGCCCAGGGCTACAGGAACAGCTCCTGCCCCAGTCTCCCATGCAGCAATATTTGACTGTATTTTGGGGTTAATAATTTGCCTTTTATGCAGTTTATTTCTACCCCACACTTTTAAGAAAGGTCCCTTAGCTCCGTCTGGGGAATTCTGAGTCATCAGGTGTGAAAGGCCTGTGCTTTGCATATGGACACTGAGCAGGGGAGAAAATGGGCTGTGGTAGAGCCCAGGAAGGGACAGAACAGAGGTGACAGGGGAGGCATTAGAGGCAGAATGACCAGTAATGTCATTAATGTAAGGTATTGTCCCCCTAAAAATCGATTATGGAGTCATTTCTCAGGAAGAGCACTGATGAACTCAACTCAGATCATTTTTCATGTCCTACAGGTGGAAGCCACGCTAATAGACGGAAATGAGGGCTCTCCCCAACTGATGATGTGAATATTAAGGAGAATTAAAAATTCTTCCTCTGGAAGAACTGATTGAAACCCCTGTGACAAGCACCTCTGCAGGGCTGGCTTTAAACTGGAACTCAGCCAGACTCCTTCTATCGCAGGGTATTCTGCAACACGCCCCCAGCCTCACCTATACAATGATGCAAATCTAAACAGAATGTCTTTTATTCAAAATACCAAAAATTAGATCACAGCATAAAATTCAGTCCCTCCTTGAATACTTACTGTTTGCTGGGCAATGAATTCCAGCTTGCTTCTCTTGCTGTCTGAATGAAGGCTGACCCTGAAATGACCAAACCAGTAACCTAAACAGCCATGGAAATAACTTCAGGCATTTTCACCCTCCATTTAGTTTAGATGTTTCTTACTGTTAGAACTGCTATTCCTACAGGATTAATTATAAATAGTTATCTACTGATATCTACAGTAATACATTTTGCTTCTGAGCATGCACCACTGAGTTTTATAATGGGTTGTGTATACACTGCAAATGTTAAACAATATTCTCATTGAATAATGACAGGCAATGTGTATTTGCATTTCCTGGGAGATTTAATGATGCGATGGGATAGCTGGATGGAAGGTGGGAATTAATATTTAGACTTAGTGCCAAAGCCACCTCCAGGACAGCAGGCACATTGCTAATTAACTCAAGAGATTTTGAACCCATTTACTCTGTGCTAGACTTCAGTTCTTGGGATCAAAAGTCACTTCGTTTTTCCTATCCCCTCTGTAGAGACAGAATTGAATAAAACAGGTATCGCTTCAACTTCTCTTTTCCTTCACCAAATCTGGTTATTTTCTCCATAAGAAAAAGGTTCTCCCAGCTTCCCAGGTTTCCTCAGAGCCCTCCCCTGCCACCAGCCCAGGGAAGGTGATGCTCTGCCAGGTGCGAAGCAGCAGCCACCCAACTGCTCCACCCTCTTCTCCCACTCCACCCCACACCTGCACACAGCAGGAGCTGCTTTCCCCTGCACTCCTGGGAGCACAAGAGTTTCTCACACCTATAGGGAAGGGGAGGGATTAGGGGAAGCAAAGGAAACCAATCTAGGGAAGTGATGAGACTCTGCATCCATCAGCCAGACATGCTTTGCTCTAATGGCACTTGCTGCATTTGCTTCAAGGGTGCTTCAAAGCTGGAGGGAAGCTGCTGTTACCTAGGACACATCTACTCGAGTTTGCTGAAACTTAAAGCTGGGACAGTGGCAGAAATAGAACTTTTCCATGAAAGCTTCAGTTTATCATTTATAGAATGTAAAAAAACTAGACAGAGAGAAACCAGAAAAAGCATCTGCATGTTATTTGCTGAACAGCTCTACTTTCAGAACCAAATTAAGGTACTCTTCTCTCTTTAATGCCTCTAAGACTACTGAAAAAAACCACAACTTCCCAGGCTTACAAATTACAACATCTTTCTAAATAATACCATACATTGCTCAGTCTCCCCATTTCTCATAATAACCTAGAATTTTATTTTCAAAGCTCAAGGTGAAGGAGTTAAAGCAGCCACACTTCCAACCGCATGGAAGTTTCAAACTTGTTTTTGCTTTCTCCCCTCTCTTCCTGTGAGCCTTGTCCATGGCACAATCTGCTGAATTCATTTTACAGAGATATTTTAGTGTTTCTTCTCTCATAGAATTTTAATGTGTTTTATCTGACAAACTGAAGTCTAAAATATGCACAGACCCATTTTTCTGAGTTGTTATGAAGTCTTAGAGCCCCTGCCTCACATACTGTCTTCTGAAATTGATACAATTACACCTGATAAATATTCTTGTCATGTAAATTGGAAGAAAATATATCTCAGGTTGACGATTTCCAATCCTTTGTAAGTGGACATACAATGGGAGGCAGCATCCTGGAAAATAAAGTATTAAAACCAGCTTCCTAAAAGGGCAAGTTTGTTTGATGGAGCACTGGCAGACACCTTTAACAGAGCTCCACATGGAACTCAAAAATGATTTTTAACATCATCCTCATCATCAAGAGCAGGTTTTGGCTGTGGAGTGACTGACCCAGCACATGCAGCATCCCACTGGTGGCAGCAGGCTGAGCACTCTCCAGTGGCTGCTCATTAACTTTAGAGTGTAGTGTCTAGATAGGCTGAAATCAAAACTTTATTCAGGATGCGAGGGTGAAACCCCACATTTCATGGTTAACTGAATGTCACCTGTTGGATATTTGGGTGCTAGCTGGAAGGTAACGTGTGTTTATGCTTAGAAAAGTGACAGAGGGAAAACAGAGCACCTTCAAGAGCACTTGTATAGCAACCCTGCCCTCTAAACGAGACTCGCATCTCTGCAACAAAGCAGTGTGGTCTCAAACACCACTCACCATGAGCTGCAATGGAATTCAGTGGCATCTAAATCTATGGGATATCTCTCCACAGGACAAGTTCCACCTCTTCAAGCTCATTCATGTAGACTTAGGAAAAATAAAACCAACAAAACTTTAGTCAAAAGGAAGATATTTTACATTTTGTTCCACTTTAGCTCTGCAATCCCACTCATGAGAAAGTTAACTTAAATTTCCCTCCCTCTCCATTTGTGACTTGTCAATCAGAACCAATTTGTTTCTTCACAAATTATACCTCAGCACAGAAACATATTCAAATGCTGAATTTATTTATCTAGTCCAAAATCCCTGTCTGGCACTGCTACTTCAGCCATCCTAGTGAGAAGCAGATGCAGAAGTTTTTCCCTTTTCCCAGAAATGGGTGTCCAAGTGTGTATCTTCCCTGGAGCAGTTCTGGGTGCCCTGGGCTTCTGCCCACAGGGGAGCCAGTGCTGGCTGTATATTCAGGTTTTCAAAACTAGAGTTTGTCATTAAAATTCTTTTTTGAGTATAACATCCTCACTTAAAATCAATAAATATCAGCTTGAAGCTCTTAAGTACACCAAAATGTGGATTAAACACCACTAGAAATGTGGTGATGAACCAAACTATTATTTCTGTTATTAATAGGAGCAGAGTTTTGTGGGTAAGGCCCTGGGCCTGAAGGGATTTAGATTCATTCCCTGTGACCTCTGGCAAGTCAGCCAATTGCCTTGTCCTCACTTTCCCCCTTTGCAGCAGGGACAGCTGCAGCTCCATCTGCATCTCGCAGCCGCTGCATGCGCGCAGCACCGCCCATCCCTGCAGCGGCTACCAGGACAAGCTGCAAGCCCGATTCCACTGCTCGTGGAGTGGAATCCCCTCTCAGGACCCCTTCCCTCCAGTAGAACAGTTCCATATAAAATGGAGACACCCTCACTTGGCTTTTCTCCAAACCTTTGTCTATCTTGCCAGTTTATCTATGCAAACCAAGAGTTTTTCCTCATCACACACCAACAGAGTGGGCCTTGTCCACAGCTTGCACCTACACACATCCCATCATAGGCAGTAACAATACAGAAAATTTTGATTAACCCAAATCTTACCTTTCCATCCCCTGATACGGCTCAAAAATGTCACCTGTCCCAGGCAAAAGGAGGCCCTGTGGCTCCCAAGCAACTCCTGGTTCCTTGTGCAGAGATCACCCGAATGTGGGTGTGGCCTCAGGGCCATACTCTTTTCCTTGGGATGAGGGAAATGGGATGCAAAAGGCTCTGGCAGCACTTCTCTTAGCTCAGGTGCCATTTCCACAAACATGAATGACAATGCACAGATAGGCAAAGGGTGCCCTTAGGATTGCATCTCCCTCCACACATAGAATGGCCTTAGCAAAGCCTGGGAAACAGAGATTTCACTGGAGTGTGTTTGTTCAGACCTGTTTTGCCGCGGCTGTAGAAGGAGAATAAGCAAGACAAATTGTTCTGTGTCTCAGTAAAAGACACAGGCTATCACAAAGAGAGAAGAAATCATTCTAACTCTTATCTAGTTGAAAACTGACCTTCCTTAGCTTGAAACTGCCTGTAGGAGTCCCAGGACAGGTTGTTCTGACATTCTTTTAACATCGTTTCATCAGCACAGCCAAAACTAATCACAAGAATATTACCCGATGACAGGTGCATTTATTCTGTCAATTAAATCAGATGGTTAAATCGAAATGTGCCCCAAATCTCTCTTGTTTGCATTATCCATATTGGCATTTCTTGGCTGTGGTTCATTGCTGGCTGGAAGTCATCCAGCCCCTGCAGAGTCACTTTGCAGTCCTGTGCCAGCGAGTTTCCAGGCTCTGCAACAGCGGTTACACCGAGACCGGAGCGGTCCTACAGGACTGACCTGCAATGTTACACTGCTTCACTAAGATTTATTTAAGACAAAAAATAAAAAGAGAAAAAAAAAAAAAAGAAGAAATCCCTCTCAGTGAAGGAGACTTAGATCAATGCTTTTGAAATGGAAAATGATATATCACTTCACACCTAACCACTAGTGACGTGCATGCATTAAAAGACAGAACAGAATAGAGACTTTTGACATTAGCATATGACTACTATGCAAGAATACAAATTCAAATCTAACCTCACTTCTCTAAAACCTGTTTGGGGGGAGAGGAGGAGTAGTTGCTCTTAATCCATCAGAAAGATGAGAAAAACAATAGACATTAAGGTATAACTGCAATAGAAATGAAGAACTGAAGTACCATCCACTATTACCCAATTATTCAAGACCCAGGTGTACAGGGTGAGTTTACATGAAATATTTGCTGCAAAGAAAAGTTGCAGTGGAGAGTAAGTGAAGGATGCAGGCAAGTTTTTCACTTGGTTTTGTGATGTACCTGCCAAGGAGTACGTGTCCATAGCACAACATGGGTCAAACCCCAGGACCAGAGATGGAATACATGGAAGGATAAATATATAAGCACTGCTTTGTTCACTTAACTTTTGTTTAATTGCCTGAAACATTTCCATTGCATTCTGATTTTACCAATATTCACACACACTCATCCACTGAGAAAAGTACCAGCAAGAAAAGGTCTTCTGAGGAGCTTCTGTGCAGTAAAATAGCTCCCTTTTACCACTAAGTATTAAAACTCCTTGCTTTCTTCAACTGTGAATACCAGGCTTAATCCAGCAATTGAGATCTGTACAACTGCCAGGAAAGCTGATACAACTCAGAATAACACAGAATATGGTCCTATAAAACATCTGTATGCTTTTCCTTTCAGTGTGTGATCTCTACCTATGCAAAAATGAGATGACATTGTACCTAAGTCCATGAAACCACTCAAACTTAAGCAATGCAATCTGCCTGTAATCCAAAGTTTGGTGGCTCAGTGTTAGACTCTCAGACCAGGAAAGTAAGGATTTATTGTTTTAATTGTCCTGTTGATCCAACAGACCATCCATATAGTGCCGCATTCCTTGTGTGTCTCTGCCTTTTAAAGGAAACCCATCAAAGTGAAGCCACCTTTGCTCCAGAGTACCAGATCACCACACAGCAACATTCCCAGCAATGTCTCCAAACATGATGGCACAGGGAAGCAAGAAGCCTTATGTCAGGTCAACACAGGTACAGCCCTGACATTCCAATGTGTTCCAAAAATAAAGTAAAAATGCATAATTAACCATTTCTATCAAATTCCCATTATTCACCCTTGACGAGAAACAGCATAACAAAGTTCTGCTCACAGTGTAATATTAAATACCTGAAAATTAGTTCACGACCCATTTTCTGATTGATGTGGTTTCAAAGTCCAAAGCAAGTTATAAGACAATAAATATCATAAATCTAGTAATTATTATTTAAAGACAAGGATTAATGAAAACAAGGTGATGATTATTCCGTCCTAAGGTCAAAGTCAATTCTTGTATCTGTCCAAAATCCACCGGGATGCAAGTCCAAGTTTTTGCACGTATGCATGAAATTGAAACTCTGGCTTTAAAGTGGCAAGCACACATTGATTTTAAACAAGAGAAAGCTGTGTAGAACAACAGGATCTGTATTAAGGGTGACACCACTTATCTCCTCAGTGCTGTTCCCAATGCCTTTTCTTTCTGCTCTAAATGGTTTTGATCCTACTTCCTAATTAATCTATCTTTAAGAAAGCTGGTAATATTCAGCTAAGTAAATTATCTTTATTTCCCTAGCTGTGTGCTTTCATCAGTTGTGTTGGTGAGGAATCCTGCAGGCAGTGCAGTGTATTTAGCCAGATTTATATTAGCCACCTGAAAGATAAGAATGTTTACTTTTTTTTTTTTTTAATATAACTCCATAAGTTGAAAGGCTCTGCAGGCCTGCAGTGTAACTGGTTGGAGTTGTGTGCACGAATAATGTGCTCTTATGACTTGTTTAACTCTTAAAAAAACTAAAAAATTAAAAGGTGTCTTTTCTGGTAGCTCCCAAAAGTATAGAAAACAAATATTAATGGATGATTTAAATCTTAAGCTCTGTGCATTTTTATCATTTTTGACCAGTTCCACTGGTCAGATACATCCTTACTTTTTATAGATATCTCAGTATATTTCAGAGAGCTATTTCAATGTAAGACAATATTGAAATCCCTCTCAAAAACCTTTGGGTAAAGCCTGTTTATTTTAATGCCACACTAATAAAATTTAAAACACAAGTGGCAATTATGAGTATTTATAAGCCAAAAATATTAAAAGTTGCTGTTGAAAGACCTTAACAAAGAGTTGGTGCAAAAGTGCTATTCTTATGCAAGGCCATGCAGAGGAGACAGTAAAAACACATAAGAATAACCAGAGAACAAGTAAAGCACCAGTCACAGCATAATTACCCTTTGCTTTCATTTCATAAACCCACAGCTTCCCAGAGACACTCGCTAATATCTAGGATTTTAAAAATAGCATAACATGCATTATACATTCACTCCTCTGTCTAACATAAATTATATATCTGTTAAATTACACATTGTGTTGAAAAAATGGAGGAAAAAAACCCCAAAGCCCAGCACATCCATGATGTTTTTATTTTCTCCTGTTCCACATCCTCCTGATCTGCCCATAAAGCTGATGCCCGTGTAGGGGAATATGCTGTGGGACGACAGCACAGCAATATTAATAAGGCAAGCATATGTTTGCTCCTTTTGCCATGCTCTCTGTGAGTTCCCCTGCCCCTTGGTGGAGGAGCTCCCCCTCAGTCTGCCTGGTGCTGATGGAATCCTTTTGCAGGTGTTTGGTTGCTCTCATGCAGACACAGCTTTCCCAAAGCCCAGCTCCTGGGTGCATTAGCTCCTGGTTTCCCCTGTGATGCAGCTGACACAGGTCTGCTTCAGGCTCTTGCTTCACAAAGTGATCCTAAATAGCATCATCCCAGTGAATGCCTGACCCCTGAATACCTAAAAGCACTGAGCTATTCACATTTACCCTATTTGGATCATACTTTTGGGTTTGGTTTCAGGTCATCAGTGAAAGCAAGGTGACAATAAATTGATATTATCTCATACAGCAAGGATTTTCTCCTGACAAGCTTCCCCATCTTACATGTTACCTGGGGACTGCCCACGTCCAGCACACAAAATCACAAATCTCCAAGCACAGCCAGAGTCAAAGCCCCATTTGAAGGCATCATTCAATCTTCATTCAATTTTTAACCAGTTGGAAAAGCAGCAGTGAGGTAGAAATGTTTGTAAAGCAAAGAAGTGTATCAGCTAAAAATCAACACTGATTTAACCCATCCCCACAGACACTGAGATCTGGGAAGCTTTCATGGGATTTTATGGTTCTGAAGACCCCTACCTCCCTGTGCTCCTTCTCCACCCAGAGTGAAGTGTAGGCACTCAGGCTCTTGAAGAAGAAATGAACAAGACAGAAAAAAAAATAAATACAACACAAGCAGAGAAAGTCTAAGTTCATATTTTTATGTTAATGTGCTGGTAAGAAAAGGGCCTCATTTGGGAAGTCATAAAAAAAAAGCGTTAGCAGATCTCCAAGTTAGAGCATCGAAGCTTTCTCTGCAGATGGAGGATTTAAAAGAAGTAAAATGATAACCACATAGTTGAGAGACTAGAAAAGAGACCTTGATGTTTGATAGTTGTAATAACCTGCAGAGTGCTCTAATGGCTCAGGGATCAGGTGCAGAACTATAGCAATAACAAGAGCTGAATAATTATCTCAGCCATATCTGTATAACCACAGTCCCAGAGTATGAACTATATAAGGAGGCTTCTGCTGCCTCTCCAAGATTTCCTGAAATGTTAAATCACTGAATTGGGAGCACTTCCAGCATTAGTACTGCCCAGTTAGAAAGAAATAAAGCCCAGAATCCTCTAGTGGCAGTTCTAATGTCTTTGTTAATTATGAATTATGGGTAAACATGCAGACTCACAGAGGTCACGGCTGTCAGCAACAATACTTTTCAAGAAGGATTTTTATGAGGGTCTTTTTCATTTTGCCATAATGTCCTTTACATACACATAAAACGCACCGAGAATACAAAAAATAGTGTTTGTTTTTAGGGAAGATGTAATTATTTTTCACTTGTTTTCCACCCTCTGTACAGCCACGGATCCGCTGCCAGGACGAGCCAAGTTGATAACTCGGAGCTCCTCTGTGAATAACAGCAGCTGCACAGTCGCAAGGAGCAGGCAGGAGGGGGCTCTGGGGCTGGGGAGAGGTTAATGATCAGACACTCTGGTAAGAAGAAAGTTGTGGTTTTCCAGGGAACGGCCAGCCAGGATCCCAGCAGCTCCAGTCACCTTTCCCACACAACGCAGAAACAAAGGCTGCATCCAGTATGCTTGATTAACCTCACTTAAATGGCAGCACTGATCTCAAATCTGTCCCAGGAGTGTATATAAACAGGATTAAAATCATATTATGTGTGGATCCTGCCCAACAAAAGCAACTGGCGCAAAATCATTTTAATTAGGTGGTAGCGGCTGTAACTCATTCAACTTTGGCATTAATTCATCTCTGTCCCATCAAAGAACTTTTGGGACTCTCTGTGAATGGTGGAAGGAATAAAGAAGATTTAGAGATAACACTGAACAACACATTGCCATAATTGCTGGCCAGTTTGCAAAAGGAACTCCAAAAAGTTCTGTGAAAGGTACAACATGCACTCGCAGTTTTTGAGGAGGGAAACAGACTGGGAATGAA